ACCCTGTTGCAACATCCCCCGGGGGTCACAGGATCAAAAATTTGGCGGGCTGCTTCCTATTTATGACGGTCGCCGTGTCCCGGGGATCACTTGATCCCCTTTTGCGACCTGACAAGCAAAGTCAATGGGGGAAATCAGATTCACTTAACAACCGAGTTATTCACTCAACAGCTTCGGTGAGTCACTTAAGAACGGTGTCAAGAAAAAATGGGACAAAACTCGCTTAACAAATTTCTCACGTAGCAATGTGAACTTCGGGCTCAGTGGTGGTTGTAAGTCGAGGACCGCAGGTACGATGAAGACTTGAGAACCGCTGCTAAGTTACTCGCACTCGGCGTCCTCTCTGTCCAGCTGGCAGAGCTTCTGAGAGTAAGGGGCCACTTAAGTCTTCCAAGAGAACGGAAGAAAAGTATCAGAGGGGGATAATAATAGCAATAGCAATAAGCACTTAGACTTATATACCGCTTCACAGTGCTTTCCAGCCCTCAGCGGATTACAGAGTCAGCCTCTGGCCCCCCCAACAATCTGGGTCCTCATTTTACCGACCTCAGAAAAGATGGAAGGCTGAGTCAACCTTGAGCCTGGTGGGATTTGAACTCCTGGCTGTGGGCTGAGTTAGCCTGCAATACTGCACTTTAACAGGAAGGAAGGAAGGAAGGAAGGAAAAAATAGCCGTAGCACTTAGACTTATATACCGCTTTACATCCCTCTCTAAGCGGTTTACAGAGTCAGCCTCTTGCCCTCAACAATCTGGGTCCTCATTTTACTGACCTCAGAAGGACGGAAGGCCAAGTCAGCCTTGAGCCTGGTGAGATTCGAACTGCCAATTTGCAGGCAGCCGGCAGTCAGGAGAAGTAGCCTGCAGTACTGCACTCTAACCACTGAGCCACCACAGCTCTTAAGAGGCAAGGAAGCGCCTCCCACCGGGCCTTTGAATGGCCCAAGTCCCCTTTTTGCTCTCGTCTGGGGAGCCTTGGATGCTTTGAATCAAGCTAGAACACGGGAGAAGTTTCCCAACTGAAATCTGAATTTGACCCTTTGAAAGTTGAGGCTAAGAATGCCAGTCGATTGAGCCTCCTGCCTTATGTGTTCAGGTGGTGTTGGTACTAATGGAGGAGGCTGTGGGGTGTTGCTGCTCTTCCCCACATCAACATCTCCAGATTCTCACTTTCCTCCTCCTCCCTCCTCCCTCTTCCTCCTTCCTTCTCCCTCTTCCTCCTCTTCTTCCTCCTCCCTCTTCCTGTACCACCTCCTCCCTCCTCCTTTTTCACCTCCCTCCTTCCTCCTCTTCTTCCCTCTTCCTCCTCCCTCCTCCTCTTTCCTCTTATTCCTCCTTCCTCCTCCTCTTCCTTCCTCTTCACTCCCTCCTCTTCTTCCTCCTCCCTCTTCCTCCTCCTCCCTCCTCCACCTCCTCTTCCCCTCCTCCTTTTTCTCCTCCCTCCCCTTCCTCCTTCCTTCTCCTATACCTCCTCCTCCCTCCTCCTTTTCCTCCTTCCTCCTCCTCCCTCCTCCCCCCCCCCTCCCCCTCCTCCTCCCTCCTGTACCTCCTCCCTCTCCCTCCTACTCCCTCCTCCTTTTCCTTCTCCCTCCTTCCTCCTCTTCCTCCCTCTTCTTCCTCCCTCCTCTTCCTCCTCCCTCGCTCCTTCCTCCTATTCCCCAGCACAGCGACAGAGCTGTCCCTGTTCCAGATTTTGCTGGCCAATGAGAACAGATGGCTTGGGAGAAACAGGAGAGAATGAAGTTTGCAGCGTTGCAATTAGGAAGGGGTGTTTTTTTGGGGGGGTGGTATCTTACCCTGCTGGGAAAGGTGGGGGGGCTGGAACCGTAGCCTTGCCCTTGTCCGTTCAGGAAGCCCCACAGTGTCTCCTTGGCACGCAAGGTGTGTTTTGTCTTCACCTGTAGGGAGTGTGGGCCGTTCACACGCCTCGGCTTCAGGCGAGGGAAATCACCCCATGGCTGGGAGGGAGGCGGAGCCAGAGTTCCACGCGTTGCATAAGTCACACAACAGCGTGTCTCCTGGGGATGGAGGTGTGTGTGTGCATGCATGTGTGCGTGTGCCTCGGGCTGTTGACATCCAGGAATCCAATTCTGAGGAGGGCTCGAACCGGATTCTGCTGTATCTCTATTCCGACGAGCTTCTTAAAAGCTGCAGAAAACGAGGACTGGGGTTACCGAACCTTTTGCAGGAACGGAGGCCTCCACCCTCAAGGTGTCTGGAAAATCTAGATCCTCCTCAGGAACCCTCGAAAGAGCCCAGGATTTTGTTGATCTTGCTGAGGAGATTAAGGGATCTGTGAGGAACAGCTGTTCTGCAGAAAATGGAGGAGAATTCACCGTTCGCTTTCGAAAAGCTGCCCGAAAGCCAAGAAGGGAGATCTTGCAGATCAGACGGGATTAGATAAATAAACGGGGGAGACGCCTTTGATCGATGGAGGGATGGAGGAACTGCCTGCCTCAAGAGGCGACGGATTCTCCTTCCGTTTTAAGACATTTAACCAGAAGCAGGGAAAGTACACAAGTAGTCCTCGCTTAACAACCATTCGAAGTTACGACGAGCCTTACCCCCCCCCCACACCCTCCGCCCAAAAAGCAATACTTACGGCCCGATTTTGAAATCCTTAACGGCTGCAAACACGTACGCACCCACGCAGCCACATCGCATTTTGGGCGCCTGGCAACCAACTTGATTGACAGCTGTCCTGCAGCCCCGTGACCACAATTTTTAATTCCCCCGTGCCGCCCCCCACTCCCAGTTTCTGGGTATAATGGATTTGTTAAACAAACCCCGCATTGCTGTAACCCCTGCAAAAGTCCTAACGTTGGGCGTGGACATGTGATCCACTTAATGACACAACAGTGTCATACAGTGGTCATTCTCGGCTCGATCAAAGTCATAAATTGAAAAGTTGAGGTGTTTACCTCCCGAGAAAATGCGGTTCCCTGCCTTTGTCGAATTTCCAAGGGATTTACAGTTTCTCCCTTCTCTGGGCCTTTGCCCCACATTCTCCGTGTTGTGGGCCCCCTTCCCAGAATTTCCAGCCATTATGGACCCTAGTTAGGAACTCCGGGATTTCAAACCTGTCTAGGAGAAAAAAGGTCCACACTACATTTCCATTTTCCAGATTCGGCAAGGGAGATCACTTTTTCCTCAACCAACCTCACAGGGCTGTCGTGGGGGAAATGGGAGGAGGAAGGCGTACAGCTAGTCCCGGACTTGCAACAGTTCCGTTTAGTGACCGTTTGAAGTTACCAGGGCACAGAAAAAAAGCAACCGATGGTCGTTTTTCACGCTTAACAACGGTTGCAGCATCCCCATGGTCACGTAATCAAAATTCAGGAGCTTGGTTTCTTATTTGTGACGGTTGTAGCCTTCTGGGCTCATCTGATCCCAGTTTGGCGACCTGACAAGCAAAATCAATGGGGAAGAAGCCAGATTTTCTTAACAGCCTCGTTGCTAACTTGGCTGCTGCAGTGGTTCACTTCACAACGGTGGAAAGAAGGGTCGTAAAACAGGGAAAACTGTCTTAACAAACGTCCCACTTAACAACAGAAATCTTGGACTCAATTGTGGTAGAATGTGCATTATCTGCATTAGGATTGGCGGTGGCCTCCAGTTACCTATAAAGTAATAAAAGGCAGGAATAAAAATCTAATAAATAATTTCTACTGGGAAAGGAACTGCCACCGGGACCACGAGCTAGGATTTGAGATCGAATCCTGCCTCCTGTTGGGCCAAAAGGCAAACCTGAACGAAGATGGATTGAGCTAGAAATAAGAAATCGGCCCATTTGAAGGCAGGAGAAGAAAAGGCAAAAGGTTGGGGAGCAGTTGGGGAGCTGTCCGCCCCTCCTGGGTGCTGAAATGGCTCCTCCGTCTCTGGGCCAGAGAGCCAAAGAGTCCGGGAAGGCCAAGTGGGGAGACCTGGCAGAGTTGACCCTTCGTGTCACGACCCTCTGGACCCCTGGTGTTATCCGAGGACCCCTGATAGATTCAGCCTCTCGCTACTGGGGATGATGGGGCTTGTAGTTCCCCTACCTTTTGCTGGGCGCCTTCTTGTTCCCACTTCAATTTTGTCAATACCTGGAGTTGGGGGGTGCTGGCTCCCTCCGCAGATCCTCCCAGGGTCCCCCTCCCCGCTGCCCAGCCCTCTCCTCCTCTTCCTCCTCCTCCTTCCTCCTCTTCCTCCCCCTCTTCCTTTCTCTTCCTCCTCGTCTTCTTTCCTCCTATTCCCTCCTCCTCCTCCTCTTCCTCCCCCTCCCCTCCCCCTCTTCCTTTCTCTTCCTCCTCATCTTCCTCCTTCCTCCTCTTCCCTCCTCCTCTTCCTCCCCTTCTCCTTCCTCCTATTCCCTCCTCCTCCTTCCTCCTCTTCCTCCCCCTCTTCCTTCCTTCCTTCTCCTCCTCCTTTCTCCTCCTCCTCCTTCCCCCTCTTCCTCCTTCTCCTTCCTCCTATTTCCTCCTCCTCTTCCTCCCCCTCTTCCTTCCTTCACCTCCTCCTTTCTCCTCCTCCTCCTTCCCCCTCCTCCTCCTTCTCCTTCCTCCTATTCCCTCCTCCCTCCTCCTCCTCCTCTTCCTCCCCCTCCTCTACCTTCCTTCCTCCTCCTCCTCTTCCCTCCTCCTCCTCCTCTTCCCTCCCCCTCTTCCTTCCTCTTCCTCCTCCTCTTCCTTCCTCCTCCTCCCTCCTCTTTTTCCTCCCCCTTCTCTTCCTTCCTCTCCCTCATCCACCTCTCTCCTTCCCTCCTCCTTCCTCCTATTTCCTCCTCCTCTCTCCTCCTCCTCCTCCTCCTCATCTCCCGCCTGCCAGCCCCTCCCTCCCTCCAGCCCTCGCCGCCTCCCCCAGAGGCGGGCTCTTTGGGCTGCGAGCGAGGCACGCGGGCGGGCGGGCGGCTGGCTGGCTGGCTGGGGCCGCTTCTCTGCCAGCGGCCGCTCTCCCGGGGCTCCTGTCTTTGGGGTCCCCCTCCCCCGCCTCCCGCCTTGCCGGCCGCCCCACCGAAGCCACCCACCCACCCACCCACCCCGGGAGCCCGCATGGCCAAGAAGTAACCGGGCTCGGCTCAGCCATCGCGGAGGAGGAAGGGGCTTGGAAGGTAAGTGGCGGTCGCAGCTGTTTGCCGGGCTCGATCCCGCTTTCCTCCGGGGCTGAGCGTTCCCGGCCGTGCCTCGGCTCCACTCCACCCCAGCCCCTTCGCCTGCTGCCCAGCCTCACCCTCCCCAGCCCTGTTGGGGGTTCCGCTCCGACCCCACCTCTCCAGCCTGGGCTGGGCAGGATTGGGGCACCCCCAGGGCTCCCTCCGTCTCCTCCTGGCAGGGGATCCCCACCCTGGCTACCAGCGGGAGGGAGGGAGAGAGAGAGAGAGAGAGAGAGGGAGGGAGAGAGAGAGAGAGAGAGAGAGAGAGAGAGAGAGAGAGAGAGAGAGAGAGAGATGGCTTTAATACCCTCGAGGAATTGTTGGCCAGTTAGGACCGAGACCCAGCTGGATTTTTACAAAGAGGTGGATAGGAAACAGAGGGGTACTCTTTCCCCCCCAGCCCACCCCATGGAAAAGAGCCCAACTCAACGGAGCCAGCAGCCCCAGCCTTCTTCCTTACACCGTGTTTTTTTTTTCTTCTTCTTCCTCTTCCCCATCTTCTCCGTCTCCCTGGGTATCTCCCAGGCGTCGGGCTAGGACAGTTGCTATAGACACAACTTCCCAGGTACTGAGAAGATGGTTTTCCATCTCTTCCCTCGGTACGGGCGGAGCGGGGTGGGGGGTGGGATACGTGTTCGAGCCCTACCCACCCACCCGTCCGTCTGTCCGTCCGTCGGTCTGTCCCACCCGTCTCAAAATGCTTTTTGTGATTCACCACCGGGCCCATGGAATGGGCGGAGAGGGGGGGGGGAAGGAAAGGAAAAAGGCGATTTGGGGGGGGGGGGGGGGAGGGAGGGTGATGCGTCCAGCAAGCATATCTTTCGGGGACTCTGTATACGTCCATCCAGGGAAAGAGCTGCATCTGGGACTTGGCACAGGGCTCGAATCCACCCCACCCACAAAAAAAAAAAAAAAAGTTGCAAATATTTTATTTTATTTATTTATTTATTTATTTTATTCAATTTATATCCCACCCTTCTCCTAGTGGACTCAGGGCGGTGCACAGCCAGAACTAAAACACATACCAATACAAAATTTAAAATTATTAAAAAAGAATGATATCACTGTGGCCCAAAATTTAAAACATTCAAATTAAAACCCATTTGACAATTTAAAAGGCTAAAATATGGGTCTCTGGGCGAGCTTTCATGGCACGGGAGGTGCTGAAACGTGGAAGGGACGGTGCCAATCCGAAACATTACAGAGATTTAGGAATAGCAACACACCCTGTCTGTTAAATGCCTTTTAAACCGACGTGTATTTTCGTCTGGAGTATCTTTCCATCCAGATTCCTGGAGTTTTAAACAACCAGTGGATGTGATTTGGTTTTTTTTGTTTTTTTAAAAACAAACCCATCTTTTGGCATCCGGGTGCCCAGATTCTAGGCTTGGCAGGATTCTGTTCCCAAAGCACAGAATAAAACACTTGGAATGATGGGCAAAAATCCCCAGGAAATATTCAATATTAAGGAAGCATTTTTACTGGAGTGGCGGTTGAGCAAGCAATGGCCCTGTGTGAGCCCCCACACTGGAAAAAAAAGGAGAAGCGTGAAATTGCAAAAATCCCTTGAATCCATTATACGTCTTTTCCATCCATTATACGTCTCAACGGCACCAAGAAAGGAAGAAAGATTTTTTTGGGGGGAGAAAAAGGATGTTTTCTGGTTTTAAAGTCTCTTCAAATGCCCAAATTGGCCCCCTGCAGGGTTTAAGTGCTCTCATTTGTCCACAGGAAAGTCTCTCTCTGTGTGTGTTTGCAGTCTGGGAGGGATTATTTTCTTCCTTTTATCAAATTTAGATCCTGTCTTCCTCCAGATATATAGAATCCAGGTGGTCCTCGACATACGACCACAGCCGTGCCCCCAAATTTCTGTCACTAAGCGAGACGGGTTCAATGAGTTTTGCTCCTTTTTTTTTTTAGAATCCAGGTTGTCCTCGATTTACGACCACAGCTGTGCCCCCAAATTTCTGTCACTAAACGAGACGGGTTCAATGAGTTTTGCTCCTTTTTTTTTAGACTCCAGCTTGTCCTCAACTTACGACCACAGCTGTGCCCCCAAATTTCTGTCGCTAAGCGAGACAGGGGTTAAATGAGTTTTGCTCCTTTTTTTTTTAGAATCCAGGTTGTCCTCAACTTACGACCACAGCCGTGCCCCCAAATTTCTTTCATTAAGCGAGACAGGGGTTCAGTGAGTTTGCTCCTTTTTTTTTTTTAACGGCCTTTCCTGCCATTAAGCGAATCCGGCTTCCCCCTTGACTTGGCTTGTTGGAAGGTCGCCAAAGGGAATCACGTGCCACTGGCCCGCTGTCACCGTCACAATTACGAGCCAGTTGCCGACCGTCTGAATTTTGATCACGTGACCATTTGAGGAGTCTGCAACAGTCGTAAGGGTGACAAATGATCCTAAGCCATTTTTTTTTTAACAAGGCCATTGTAACTTGGAATGGTCGCTAAATCGAGGCTAACCTGTACATGCTTTGAGCCTTTCTTAGGGAAGACAGGAAAGAGGTTTACGCTCTAACGGGCCTGTCCCATTTCTCACACAAGATTTGGCAGCGAAGCCAAAGTGCCAGACTTTGTATCAGAATAATAGAGTTGGAAGGGACCTTGGAGGTCTTCTAGTCCAACCCCTTGCTTTAGAAGGAGACCCTAAACCACTTCAAATGGTTGTCCAGTCTCTTCTTAAAAACCTCCAGTGTTGGAGCATTCACAACTTCTGGTGGCAAGCAGTTCCACTGATTAATTGTTCTCACTGTCAGGAAATTCCTCCTTCGTTCTCAGTTGTTTCTTTCCTGGATGGGTTTCCATCTTTTGCTTCCTCTCCTGCCTTCTGGTGCTTTGCACAATAAATTCACTCCCTCTTCTTTGTGGCAGCCCTTCAAATCTTTTAATCTTTTAATATTGCATTACCCAGGGAGACGTTTACCCTCTATTATCCTTTCTTCCCCATCCTGGGTAGATTACAGCTGCACGCAAACTATGAGAAGCGAAATATCTTCCAAGAAAGTCCAGTTGCTTCTTGAAAAAAAAGCACCTTTGAGACAATCATGAGCTGGAGGACTGAGAATCTCCATAGACCAGGGGTCTCCAACCTTGGCAAATTTAAGCCTGGAGGACTTCAACTCCCAGAATTCCCCAGTTAGGTGGCTGGGGAATTCTGGGAATTGAAGTCCACCAGGTGTAAAGTTTTGCTGGCTGGGGAATTCTGGGAATTGAAGTCCGCCAGGCTTAAAGTTTTGCTGGCTGGGGAATTCTGGGAATTGAAGTCCACCAGGCTTAAAGTTTTGCTGGCTGCGGAATTCTGGGAATTGAAGTCCACCAGGCGTAAAGTTTTTCTGGCTGGGGAATTCTGGGAATTGAAGTCTGCCAGGCTTAAAGTTTTTCTGGCTGGGGAATTCTGGGAATTGAAGTCTGCCAGGCGTAAAGTTTTTCTGGCTGGGGAATTCTGGGAATTGAAGTCCGCCAGGCTTCAAGTTGCCAAGGTTGGAGACCCCTGCCATAGACAAGAAAGCCAGATGTTCTCACGTTGCTACCTTGGCTGGGACTCAACGAAAAGTGCCCGTGTGTTGTATCGCTGCCTCGTAATTTGCCGTTAGTGCCGAAGAAGCGTTAAGGAGGAGGGCTGAGGGACAGGTATAGCTGGTTGTTTACTCCATCGCATTGACGCTTTCGGCCAGAGGAAGCTGTTTGCTGCTCACACGGATGAAAAGGTGTGTCCATGTTCTGAGATCAGCACTATTATCACACAGGTGTATGGTTGGAGAGACTCCAAATTCAGAAGCAGACTGTGCCTGTTTCTGGAGATGGATATGAAAGACGGGCCGTCCTCGACATACGGCGATCCTTTTAGTGACCGTTCAAAGTTACAACAACACTGGAAAAGTGACTTGCGACCGGTCCTCGAACTTATGACAGTCACAATGTTTCCCATGAATCACGTGGATAAAATGTGGGCGCTTGGCAACCAGCAGGCATTTCTGTCAATGGATCGCCGTTTGAGACCTTCCCAGCTGGTTTTGGATGAGCAAAGTCAAGAGGGGGGGGGAGCCAGTTTTGTTTAATGACCCACCTGATTCACTTAACGACTGTGGTGATTGGACGTGACTCACATCACAACTGGCCTTGCTTGGCGATGGAAATCCTGCTCCCAATTGTGGTCATAAGCCGAGGACCACCTGTCTGTCAGTGTTGGGACTTCCGCTATTGTGAGCTCGTAGCAAACGTTAATACAGGTAGTTCTCCATTTATGACCCATAACTGAGCCCAACATTTCCGTTTGTTAAATGAATTTGGGCCATTTTACAACCTTTCTTGCCCCCGTTGTTAAGTGAATCGCTGCAAAGGTTAAGTTAGTAAGGTGGTTCTTAAGTGAATCAGGCTTCCCCGTTGACTTTGCTCGTCAGGCGGTCACAAAAGGGGATCGTGTGACACCAGGAGACTGTCACAGTCCCAAATAGGAGTCAATTGCCAAATGTCTGAATTTTGATCATTTGACATGCAGATGCTGCCAGGGTCATAAGTGTGAAAAATAGCACTAGCAATAACCCTTAGACTTATCTACCCCTTCACAGTGTTTTACAGCTTTCTCTAAGCGGTTTACAGAGTCAGTATCTTGTCCCCCCAACAATCTGGATCCTCATTTTACTGACCTTAGAACGATGGAAGGCGTAATCAACCTTGAACCCATCAGGATCGAACTCCTGGCAGTGGGTAGAGTTTGCCTTCAATGCTGTATTCTAACCACTGTGCACGATGGCTCTCTCTCTCTCTCTCTCTCTCTCTCTCTCCTGTATCTCTCTATCATTTATCTCTATCTTCTTTTTTTCTTTCTATCTATCTATCTCTATCATCTACCTCTCTTTATCTCTCTCTATATCTACTGTATCTATCTATCTATCTATCTATCTAATCTATCATCTATCTCTATCTTCTTTCTATCTATCTATCTATCTGTATCT